ACCTCATCTAAAGCCTCTTTGACCAAAGGCAACATTTACCTTCTTCACTCTCTCTTCCTCACACACACACACACACACACACACACACACACACACATACACACACAGACATATTTGGAAATGGTCAGTGGCTGCTGATCAAGTCTTGTAGACCAGGAACAGGTGGGACTGCGCAGCTGTGTTTTGCACACTGCCTTTACTGCTGCCCTGTAAAGCAACCGCTGGTTTTGCTGTAGGCAGGTAAACGACAGATATGACTGCAAATGGATCAGCTGGATGTAGGAGAATCTGAGGCTCCCTCTCTCTCTCTCTCTCTCTCACACACTCTCTCTCTCTCTCTCTCTCTCTCTCTCTCTCTCTCTCTCTCACTAAGTGGATTCCTCCCATGCAGCGAATGCAGCCTTCCCATATGGAGCAGCAGGTAAAGCCAGATTGCACTAGTGTGTGTGAAAGGGTCTGCAGAACCTCCAGAGTTCACGTCATGAACCCACACGAGCATGAAGGACACACGTTATAGTTCCACTCTATACAGCAACTGTATTAGCCTCTTGTACCAACAGTTGAACAGTATCTCCAAGATGTATTTCATTATTAATTTGATATTTAATCATTCATATTTTAAAGTTTTAATTTAAGTAAACTAAACTTTCAGAATTTATTTTCTGTAAAGAGGCTATTTACAAGATTGGGAGCATTTTAATTGCCTCTCAACGGCTCTCAACATGGCGATGGCTGAGCTTGCGGCTCGCTGCTAACGGTGCTGAGAGCGCTAACAGTGCAAACCGAGGGCGTCATCAACTGTAACCACCGTATGAGAGTGTTGCAGAGCGTTGGCCGTGAGCCAGCCAGTGGGGCACGCTCACGTGCACTAACTATATAAACGTCTATATAAACGAAGCACAGAGAACTTGTAATAACAACAATCACAGAGGGAGAATGACTTCATTCTCTGCGCAGGTAGACATTACTCCACTATATTTTTACAGAAACAATAGTTGTTTGATACTATATCAATGTAGCACCTTTAAAGGAGGACATGTGATCAGAGAAGTGTCTGTCTGTCTATATATATAAACAATGCAAAATGAATGACAAATGTGACAAAATGTGTCACATGCAGTTTTTCTAAAAATAAGAGTCATATATTTGTCCACCCAGCAGTCAAAGCAAAGTGTTGCAGTGTAAAGAGGGGAGTGCCCATGACCTGCCTTTAACACAGCCATTTACATGTGAGAGTGGGCGGAGGTTTGCTCCAGTGACACCGCTGCCTAATAAGCTCAGTAACAATAAACCTTGGTCGGCTTTAACCATTGATTAGCCAACGACTGACACAACAAAAACAAGTCCCACAAAGACAAGTCATGCACGCTCTGAAGGATGGCCTTTTTTGTATGGAAAATACTGCATTGTGGAGTCATATCTTCTTCTCTCACGTAAGGGGCCAATTGAATGGAACTAATCTGTGTTGGTAAATAATGAAATGAAACAATGGGATGCCCGAGAAGTCAAAGACACCGAGACAAAGACGAGGAGGCATGATGAGTTATGACTGATGATCTCTGACACAGCAGCTCGGGTGGCAGAAGAGGCCCTCTGAATCACTTCCATCGCAGGCCATATGCAGGATCGGAGGGGCTGCCATTGCTGACCCTCCCCCCACTATCTACTTCCTGCTTTTCATGGTTGTCTGCTCGCTTCTGCCTATACAATACCAGCTGTGTCTGGAGACATTCCCCCTCATACTATGCTGCTTCCCTCATAAAACCACGACTGTGGGCCAGAGGAGCCTATATAAACAGAGCGGTGTAAAGGGGGATCACGTTGATCCTCTCTGCGGGATCATAGGAGATCTGGAGATCTATCAGGAGGCTGTTCCACTGAAGGCCTTTTGAAATGATTTAAAGTGCCAAGTAGCTCCTGGATAGTATTTGTTATTTTGTATCAGGTTTTACACTGGAAACATAGTAACTGCAATTAACCAGTCGAATAAGAAACAACTTGAAACCATGTGATACAAAATATGTATTAGCATAGTCACGTTATGTGGCGGGTCAGTCATTTTATCTGCTACATACTTAAAATGTACAATTTCCTGCAAGAAAAACACACACACAATACATCCATTTTGACTCCCAGCCCAATTCAAACACACAGTAAGTGGTGGAGAGCAACAAATACATTCATTCAAGTACTGTACGTGAGAACAATCTTGAAGTACTTGTACTCTCCTTCACTTTTCATTGGGACCAATTATACATTTGAATCTTTTTACATTTATCTCACAGCTATCGACGATTTTAAATGATTTTTGATTTTGTAAATGATGACGCATTGTTATAGATTAAACGAAGTTAGCTCTGCCTAAACCAAATACTACATTAAAGTACTGCTTACATGTAAATACTTCAATGATCACAATGATGCACCAATAATATGACAATAGAACACTGACCAGGGCCATTTTGCATGAAAGTCCATTTTACTCTTGATACTAAGTACATTTTGTTGTTAATACTTCTGTACTTTTACTTAAGTATTTTACTGAAGTATTCTTAATTCAGGACTTTTATAGTGTTTATACAGTGTGGTATTACTTCTTTTATTCCAGTAAATGATCTGATTACACAGCTGCGTGCTGTATTAGTGCATTTGAGTTACTTGGTCTTCATGCATACAGACTTCTACTTAACAGAATATGGCAGCTGAATAAAAAAAGTAATTTAACACATTTTTAGTTGGAAACATGAAAAGAGCCATTCATCTTATTACTGTGCAGTCAAATAACAATTGTTGTGTTGAAAACATTTGTAAACATTTATTTTGTAATTGTAATGCATTAAAATGTATGTCCATCCATTTGAGTTAGTTTTTATACAAAACTTTGATTTGTGTAGAAACAGATGTAATAAAATGCCTTCATATATATACATTTCTGCATGAATAAAACACATTGTGTAAAAGTAAAAATGATCCTACAGTGACCTCTAGTGGTAAAAAAGGAGAGACTCAGTCAGTATCAGCTTCTTATGCAGAGGGTGGTTCAGACCAACAGCTACATTCAAACAGCACAGCAGCCCATGTTGTCCAGGTGACCTTGATGGTGATGAGCTTGTTGCAGCCATCCCACTGACACTCATCAGAATGTGTCACAGGTCCACAGGCCTCTCCACAGTAAGAGTGTGAACTCTGGCTCACACACAAACCTCCACCTTCATTCATCAAACCCGCTGCAGGGCCGGAGGATGACCTGGAGATGAATACAGTGTGTTTGTGATCCAACGTTTAAAGCAATACATATAATGTATATACATACTGTATGTTGCTCCAGTTTGGTTGTTATAGTTCTATAGAGCTAGTAGAAAACTAGCTGATGAGTAAAACATTACCATCAATGGGATTACAACCAAAAATATAATCATCACTTCCTCGATACTTTGCTGGATTCATGAGAAATTAAGATACAAGGGGAAATGCAATTTTGCTGTAAAAGTTTTGATACAATAGGTCAATCATTCCCAAAGTCTGGGTCGGGACCCACAGGTGGGTCGAAGGAGATTTTATTTGGGTCACCAAGTAAATTAGAATTTCTCTCTTTCTTTATTGCACATTTATATCTGCACTATACCTTTGAGCCACACGATGGAGCCTGAATGTCCATATTGTTAGAATTGTAGCTTACTTATAACTTTGAATCTAACATGAAAGGCGAGTTAACTCCATGCTTTTATTTTTTAAATACAAGTGTGCCAATTATTTAACATGTGTATAAGTTTTCAATAACACATGAAACAAAGTTGTGATACCTCGAACATCTATCTCTTCTAAGTGGCTGGTTTACCTATTCAAGACAATACAAGGTGATGCAGGAATGGAAGTAGAAATGGACAGGGACGTTGATTGTCAGTTTTATAAAGTGGGTCTCCAGAACACTAGTTTGGGAACACTGATGGTTAATCTCCAAATATCTTCTTTCTGTTCTCTCCACGGGGAGGTCGAAGGTCAGGTCACTGAAAGATGCTTGCTGTCTTTTCCCCTCATTATCGTGATTATGTCTTTCAAAAGTAACCCTCATCTCGGTGTTTGCACTGACGCTATAAATAAGCCTGATTTGAGTCTGGGGAGCTCATAGGACGGGAGCTTATCTACTTTTTCTGTAGAAGCTTAAGTGTCACATCCGTGAACATGACTTCAGTTTGCCTGAAATGTTTTTAAACACCACGATGGAAAAAAATCCTCCATAACAAATAAACATCCTGCAAACTAAATTTGACTCGAGTATGAGCAGTAAAATGTTCTTGAATCCAAATTAAAAGTGCTCTTCAAAGCACTCAGTGAAGGGGGTTTAGCTGAGCTGTGAGGGGAGGATTTGTCACGCTCTCAGGTCTGTTGAAGGGTTATAAGCTCCTCTACAGGTCAAGTGAATTCTCCAAATCTCATTCTGTAGCATCTTAAAGGGATTGTGTCATCAAGCTGAAACAAGGCTGTTAATGAGAGATCCTCAATAAAAAGTGTTGAGGGCCTTTAGGGAAATGTCTTCAGTCAAATCTTGTTTTTCTACTCTCAACAAGAGCCCCAACTGAACTGGACTGTTTCTCCCCCTTTAGAAGAATTACACGAGACAGAATGATGTAAGAATTTAAATTATGGAAAAATACAGTGAAGACTTGAACATTTTGTGACATGTATGGAAAAGATTTACATAAAATGTATTATAAATATTATATCTCACCAAGAGTATCTGGCAATAAAACCAGATATAAGCCGTCTGATTCACAAAGAATGGACCATGGAATTATTGTGATAACACTCTGCCAGCAGGTGAATACGTCAGCCTCACACCCACAGCCACACGGTTTACTACTGACTGACAGGTAGACCAGAGGTGATAAGGGTCTGTGTTTCAATGGCTGGACCTGGACCTTGCTCCCTGTGAGAGTCTTTTACAGCCTCAGGTGGAGCCCTATACTGCTCACCTGCTGTTTCAGGAAATGAAGCTCTGATCCATTCCACACACCACGGCGGGAGCTCTCATGCAGTAAGTGTGTTTAAACTGAAGATGCTGTTGCTTTTGAGGAATATTTGGTCACAAAGGCAGGGATTTCATCCACGGGGACCTCTAGTGAGAGTCAACACTGGTAAGTATAGAAAAGCTATGAAAGCATGACGACAGCATTTATCACATTCAATCTGAGTGCAGAGAAAAAGCACAGAATTGGATAGTATAGGCCTTCTTCATTTTTTGCGATGTATTCATTTTGTGTGAATGAACGATGGAATGATATAGAAAACCTCTCACCAGTTCCGTTTGTGAAAGAACAGAATTATGAAACAAGCTTGTAGATTTCATAAAAACATAATTTCACGGAGTGTCAAAAATCTTCAGATATAATCAGATATTATCTGGAAACAACTCTTCCTCCAAGCTAAAAACAAGCTAAGCTGCTAATTGAAGACGTCATCGACACTTTTCTTGCTGCCCTGTCCTCTGTTGACAGACACGTCCAGGCTCGGTTTTTGTTCTTGTGTCATTTATTTCAGGTTTAACTTTCCGCTATAGAGTTTTTTACTTATTTTGACGTCTAGTCTTTAAACTGAGAAATTCATCATACGGTCTTCTACTGTCACTTTCACAGACGTTAACCGCTAGTATCCGATTGTCCTCCAGCTCTCATTCGAGATCATTCGAATCAAAACATGTGCATTAAAGTGTGTGATTTATTTTTGTAAAGTTATTATTTGAAGTGTTTTTCTGAACATTTTGAGCATTCTCACAGCTGTGTCTCTTCCGTCTCTTCAGGGCAACAACGCTAGCATGACTGTTCCCTGGAAATCACGGCCCGACCTCTTCCGCATCGGTTTATTACTGTGTGCAACTGGAGGTCAGCATTCATCTTTCAAATAATTGTATAAAGTCTGTGCAAACCTGGACAACTTTTTGAAAAATAAATAAACACAAGAGCAATATTTTTTTTCTGGGTTCCTGCAATTTGTTGTCAAAATACTCACTTGTGACTTATTTCCCACACAGTGTTTATGACAATTCATTGTAAATGTTTAATTTAACATTCGCAGAGTCTTAATAACAGCAGACCTGTGAGATAAATGGCCTTACATGAGGACTACATTCAACTTGAATGATTCCTGTGGGGAAATTGAATTATATTCACTCCTGATCCAGAGTGAATTAACTGAACCAACAACTGCAAGTGTGACTTTAGCAGTACTGTATGTCAGACTTTACCTAAAACATGTTTGTCCGTCCTTAACATTGGCTTCCCACGTTTATGGGTATGGGTTTTAAATGACTTTGTGAATGGAGTCACAACTGTGGGGCGAAGCTCTTCATCAACAGGGACTAGTCAGAGAAATACTTTCTTAACACCACAGCACACCACAGGGTTTCTGGGTGCTCTTAATAGTGATTAATCATTACCCTCAGTGGTGCCTTGAAGAAAAAAAAAAGCTGAACCAAACCAAACTGTGGCAAGTCTAATCAGTCCTCATCAGAATGTACATGGTCTTGGCCAGAGCAGCTTTTCTTCTGCTTCCTCTTAAAGGATGCAAAAACAGCAAGAATACATCCAAGGAAACATGCTCAGACTCCGCCTGAGCTTTTGACGCTCGACACGGATCAGTCCAGATTGATGTTGTGTTTGAGTTTCAGCCTTGTCAAGAACCAACAAAACAAAATCCACGACCTTTGTAATGTTCACGTTCCTTGAGCAAACTCAAACATGTCTCAAGTACTGATTTAAACAAAGAGCTACATGTGCCTTCATAACATACGGGCCTTCTCTTTGTCCAGAATCAAAGTAAAAGCTCAGCCAAAGTTGCCAGACTTGTTTTTCTCACATTGCATTCCATTCCACCTGCAATGTGCTGCAATCACACAGAGACCTGTAGTAGACTACAGCTTGGGCTACAAATGATTTTTTCTTCTTCTTCATTTTATATATACATATATAATTATTATTTGATTATATATATTTTATATAAAACATTTAAAATATTACCACTATGTACTATTATATATATACGTATATATATATATATATATATATATGGCACCTTTAAAGGAGGAAATGTGATCAGAGATGTGTCTCTCTCTGTCTATATATACTGTATATACATAAATGTATTATTATATTTGATATAAAACATTTTAAATATATTAACAAATTACTTATAATAATAATAATAATAATAATACATCAATTTTCTATAGAGCTTTTCAAAATACCCAAAGACGCTTAATCACACTTAATCGGAACGTATAGTATTACTTTAGTGACAGACTTCTACAGGCAAACATGTCAGAGTAAAGGTTTTTTGAGCTTCACTTTGGCTCTTCAGAAACCTATGGGTGACGTCACAGAGACTATACATCCATATTTTTTTCAGTCTATCATTTAAACCCAAATCCCGTCTTTAAGTAGTTCCTTCATACAAAAAGAGGACAAGGTGGCAAGATGCAACTAAAGAGTCCTGTGCCATAACAACAAGATCCAAAGACCTTCTAAGCTCATGTAATTCCTGCCTGACATGTCGTCTCTTTCATATTCAGCGGTGTCGGGACAGTTCCAGCTGGAGCCGTTGAATTCAACAGTGCTTCAAGGCTCTGATGCGCGATTCAACGCCACTGTGCAACGAAACTGGCAGGTCATGACCTGGACTGTCGGAGGATTGATGGTCGTCAATTTCCCCGTCATCGGTGACATAACCTCATCCTCAGAGCAGTTCTCTGCCAGGTTCTGCTCCAGTGGTGACACCAGCTGTGTGGAGTTCACCATCCATAACGTCACCCGCAGTGGTGATGCCAGCCCGGTCGTTTGCGGGGTGCTGGGTGATTATGGATCAAAGACGGCACACCTTTACGTACAAGGTAGGGTCCTCATCAGGCAGCGGTTGTTTAGGTTTGGTACTTTGAGAGATATGCGCTGCTTTGTTGCTCTCCTTTGACCTCTGACCTCACTGTGGTCAGATCACCTTCAGGTAATCTCATTGTGAAACATCTGGGCTCCAGTCTGGCTCTGAATGGATATTGATTATTAAAGTGACGGAGCTCTATCTTACGCGGATGATTGGGACCTCAATGATTTCACACAGAGTCTCCTCGCATGTAGCAAAACCTGCAAAACCTGCAGCTAATGAACCCACTCAATAGACCTGCCAGTTTAGCCCGTTGGTTGCTTTTCTGGAAAGGGATTTAAAAGGTTCTCTATATGAGATTCAGAGCATTAAACTCAGCAAAACATTGTTAATTACACACAGTTGATTACAACACACTGAAGATGTAGTTGAGTCGACTGCGCGTGCCTTTTAGTCCATGTAAGTGCATTTGTGCCCCTCTGCACTGCTTTCATATGGCGGTTATAGTTGATAACACTGTCCTGACAGAAGCCGCCGTCAGCACTTTTCCTGTTGTTTGCACTTTTAGCTGCGAGCCGCCCGGCTCAGCCATCTCCATTTTGAGAACCATTGAGAGGCAGTAGAAGCGCTGAGTTTCGAATTTAACAACTTTAATGAGAAACTAAAAGTTCAATAGCAAACACTGTTTAACGGTAAACTAAGGAAAGTTTCGTATGAAAAGAATACTTTTCTTTTAGACTGACTGATTAGTTTACCTGATTGCGGGAATGCTAACATGAAAATTATCCATGTGCCCCTGTGCATCCATTCTAACACTTAGCTAACCATGTTTTTATTTGACTTAGAGATCACTGAAACTATCATTATTATACATTTTCAGCCATTTACTATCCCTTCCCAGTGTTAGCATGGAGCAGTGAAGCCAACCAACACACAGGGACACTACATGTTCTCAACTACCGCTCCTGAAGGCATGATGCATACCCTGAATTCACCTCTCCTCTGTGCCTGTCTTTATTTCTCAGAGAGCGGTACAGTCAACGTCAACGGGGGAAACGTGACGGTGGTGCAGGACCAGCAGGTGGAGTTCCAGTGTATAACATCTGCTTGGTTCCCCACCCCTACTGTCAGCTGGACCCGAAATGGCCAAGCTGTGAGCAGCAGCCTGTACAACACCACCAGCATGGCCAATGGGGATACCTTCAACTCCACCAGCGTCCTGAAGTTCCAGGCAGTCGGCAACGCCACGGTGGAGTGTCGGGCGACTGTGCTATCACTAACAAGCCCGCAATCCAGCTCTGTCTTCTTGGTGGTTGGTAAGAAGATCTTCCACAACTTTCAATGTTTCTGGCACAAAGCTTACTCCCAGCCTTTCTCCCGCTTCTAAGTTAGAAAAATAGTTTTGCTGCTTAGTTCGGTGTCCATTGAACGCAAGGGTTGGATGTGAAAAGGTTCAATTACACCAAGTCTGCTGCTACACCATAAGGGCGCTGTGGGGCAGCATTTGGGCAACGCTGTGCATTGAGCTAAATGCTAACATGCTCAAAATGACAATTGTCCCATGCTGATGTTTAGCGGGTGAAATATTGACCATGTAAGTAAGCATGTTAATATTTGCAAATTAGCAATTCCTTTTATTCATTCTCCTCTTTCGTTGCCATATCTACCGTTTCTATAAGTGTACCATGACAAAGGTCCAGCTAAAATAATCAAGAGGCATTGTAGTGAATTTTATATGTTGGAATGTTCCTTTGTTTTCTATGAGCACTCACAGTAATGATGTAAACAAATAAATCAGACAATGCCCGGGCAGTTTAGTGGAATCCCTGCAGTTGTGGTCTTGAAATAAAATCCAGAGTCTTCTTTGTCTGAGACTGAGACAAGGCAGGGTAAAAATATGTTCGATTCTGAGACCGAGACCTTCAAAAAGTGGTCTCGAGACCGGTCTCGAGACCAAGGCCGATCTTGAGTACTACAATACTGCACGTTACTGCTTTGCCTGATCTAGGATTACGTGATGTCTGAGGATCCACAAATAGCCCCTCTCCATTCCACAGTTTTTTAAAATTAATTTAAAAAACAGACATTTAAGACATGCTGTATAAAAAAATGACATTAACAGGACAACCCTGAATGTACGGTTTCAACCAGGCTCTGCCCACTGATAACATGGATAGCATGTCTAAGATTGAGAAGCAACGGGATGAGCCACTTGTCATTTCTGGCAGGGAGTAAAACAGTCCGGCAGCAACCTACATGTTGGAGGGGAAAGAGAAAGCCAGTTCTGATGCATATGAGAAACATGTTTTATTTAGACACATCTAAACAAAATGTATTAGAGAAAATAGAAATATAGACTTTGTACCGCTTTTTGTGTTTTCAGTGTACTTCACAGTGAATATTGTGCTATTTTTCTCGTTTTGGGTGTAGTCAGTATTTGCGTTTTGACCGTTTAATTTGACAATAATCGGCTCTTAAGTCTTTCAGTCTCCCCCTGAACGCTGGTTGTCCTCTCTGCGACAGTTCCCAAGCCTCCCGACTGGACCGTGCTGATAGCTGTGGTCGTGTCCATTGGAGGTTTCGCTCTGCTGGTTTTGCTCATCATCGGAATCATCTTCTGCTCCAAGCGCAGGGAAGAAAAACGTAAGGCCCTCATTAAATCTGTCTAACTTACACCGTACGGCATGTCCAAAATCACAAATGCAAAATCAAGCCACTCACATGTAGTACTCAGCAAATAATTCTGTACAGTATGTCCCATTCCCATCGACTAACTTGCTATCTTACAATCCTCCCCAGAACCCAACTACCAGGATGAAATGAGGTAAGAAGCCACCAAATATGATCAATATTTTGTCAATACTTCTTCAATCGAACTTTCTTAAATCGAGTTAACAGCACGTGCTTCTACACGTTTCTATACAAAATCCTCTGTTTGTTTGTAGCAGAAGAGTGAGGACGCACAGCCAGATAAGCGGTGCCAACGCAGCCGGACAGAGACAGGGTCAAGAGAACGCAGGATACGTGCCGGAGGGTCAAACAAGTAAGAAAATTTAAGTGCATCTACACAAAAAAAATCTTTCACAACTTGGCACTCTATCGCCATATGCTACCATGCTTTACTAAGCCGGTATCTACTTGTGACACAGTAAAGTCACAACTTCTTTCTCCCGTCTCTCTTCTCTGTTCACAGGTGTGGCTCCCAGCGAACTCACTGACAGCGGCTTTTCCCAGTCAAACGGCTTCAAAGTTTATAAGGTTTGTTTGTTTAGAGGTACACAATAAGCAGTAGAAAATGGTATACAATGGACCCTGTTAGGTCATAGGGTCGAGAGTAAAGACGTACCCCTCGTTTATAGACAATACATTTGGTGGGCACAACATTGGTGGGAAAGAAACAAAGAGCTAAGCTGTGAGAACTGTCCTCTTCCATTTGTGTTTGGCTTAGGGACTGTACACAAATTACAGGGGTGGTTAGTTTGACTTTTTTTTTGGAGGAGGGACCTAGAATGGTTTTCTTAATATCTTAAAAACACAGACAGAAATCAAGTGATCTCAATTGAGGTGGGTGTGCTTGGTATAGGGACAATGATGCTGTCTCTATTTCAGGGATTCATTTTTTCCATCACGCTAAATGTCAGTCCTACCAAAAGACATTTCCTCCACCACTTCCTTCTGCATCATAGCAAAAGTTAGCCTGCCATATTAAAGATCTGTCTTTTGTTATGTTTGCTAATTGCTAATTTCACCTCTTATTTGGGCATTGGTGGTAAAATGATACCATACCTATATTAAGGTTCAAATCAGATTACGTTATCTTACAATCTATATGCTTTGCTTTTTTAGTTATTAATTATCTAACGAGTTGTACAAACCCAGTTCTATATTCAGAGACTATAGGGGAGGGTGTTGCGGTCAAAAGTAGCATCCAAGTACAATATTGATAATGCTGGGGAGGGAATTTTGAAAACTGAAATACAAGTTTTAGTCCCCTTCCCCGCCTAGTAACTTTTACACAGTACCTAAATTGGTATCATTTGGGATGTGTCTTTTTAATTTCAAGCAGTGCTTTGAGCTAAATGCTAAAGTCAGCATGCTAACATGCTTACAGTGACAATGCTAACATGTTTAGCAGAAACAATAACTTCTATGTTCACCATCTGACTTTAGTCCGTTAGCATGCTAACATTTACTAAATTGCACTGAACACAAAGTACAGCGGAGGCTGGTGGGAATGTCATTAGTTTTACGGATATTTATCATAAAATATAACTAAAACAACCAAAAGAGGCATTGAGACAGTTTGTGACTCATCAATTCTTTTAAAGAAGTAAAAACCGAAATCTATGATGTGTTGCCTGCACTATCCCACACTGCACTGCCACACTCCATACATTATTCCCAGTAAATAGAGTTTTGAGAGAAACACTTCCCCTATGAGCTCATCCTCTGCTTCTACAAGTCTGTAAGAAACGTGAGAGGTGGTGATTTATATGGATCCCTGAACATGGCTCTTACAAATGAAATAAAAAATTACCAGCCATGTGCATTTATTATCTTTAATTATAGAGATGCTAATCATTTTAAGTGGCATCTCTCAGGCATGGCACAGTACGTATGGGTAATTCATTGCTTGATCATTCAACTAATTTCAGTGATGAATGAGGTACCTCAAAAACAAATACAGTATATTATTAGAATCCACAATTACAGCTTAGTAATTACAGTTTAGCAATATAGTTGCACAGTTTATGTGTTCGATGCATTTTTATTTGAAAACCGCAAGGAGGGAAAGGCCGGGGAAATATGAGTCTACACTGTTTGAAGTCTTTGCTATCTTTGGGAGGCAAATTAGATCCATTATTAATGTCAAATGTGTGTTGCTTTTGATTTTTTTAGGTGGCTGATGCTAACCAGGCTGGAAATGGCTATGGTGGTGCCCACATCACTGTGGGTGAATCAGGCGTCAGGAAACACAGACATGTCACCATTGTGTAAGGACAGGGAGAGGACCAAAACGTTTAGGAGTTTTGTAACAGACTTGCACAGCACCTTAGAGCTTTACTGGTTTTGGTCTCCAAACATTTGGAGAAAGGTGTGAAGAAAGACTGAATCGGCCCAGACCAAAGACTTTTGGCAGAGGAGGCATGCAGGATATGAATTTAGTGCACTGCCTGTATAAAGCTGTATGTGCAGAATGTAAACTCTCTGAATTGTGGGAAATATATTCCCTCTTAGTAGCAGTATCATCGCCGAAAAGGTGAAGACCGTTAACACTTTCACAACTAAGGCTGTAGCAGCACTACCTGTTTTGGTTGGTCTCATATGGTTGACGGGACATGCTATTTTAGGGGAATTGCTATGGCACTTTATATTAAGCAATATATTTGTATTAATGTGTTATGTAAATCAAATCAAATATTCAAAAAGGGACCATCATAAACCTACTTTGTTCAATGACATCTGCAAGTGTCTTAAATTGTAATCCTCCTTAAATGTAATGCTTCTCTGCTCGGTGGCCTATTTTTAGGATGTGATGAAATAATGAGTTAACCAATAAACCCTTTCACATACAGTGTTTGAAATAGTCACCATGAAGAACATTCCACATGTATGAATTGTTAGCCCGTCATAACATTTCTGTTTGTAATTTATTAAAGGTGCTCAATACGGAATTCAGAGCATATCTGTTGCCTCGACACAGCTCTCAATTTGGTGACGGCTGAGCCGGTGGCTAGTAGCTAACGCTGCTAACAGCGCAAACCACAGCAACAGTGCTGACATAGCTAACAGCGTTTACCGGAGGGAGAACCGGAGGTTGGGCGCTAGACTTCCACGACGACACTGTGGATTCGGGCGGTGTTACCAGCTGTTACCGCCGCATCAGCGCAGTGCAGAGCGGTGGCCATTAGCTGGCCAGTGGGGACCAACAGAGGGACTCACATGCACTAAAAGCATGCACTGACAGCCTGGCTATGTAAACAGAGCACAGAGATACTCATATTACAACACACACAGAGGGAGAGTGACTTCATTTTCAGGTAGACATTCCTATAGCAAATCATTGTTTGAAGCTATATTAATGATCTAAATTTCTAATTTAGACCTTTGAATTATTTTTGCACAGTATGTCTGCCTACATAAATATTGAAAATATAGGTAATTAAACTTTTACTTTTATAACCCCTGTAGCACATTTATTCCCCCCATATACACAGCATGTATTTGATCTCACATAGGTGATAGTTATATTATCTCGGGAAATGTGAATGGAGGTATGGATGATGCATTTTACAGGGAGAGAAACACAAAACATGTACATTTTTGGGATTTCTATTTATTTTCAAGCAAGACCTTTATGACCCTCCTGAGTTTGACTAGATACTGAATGTTGCAATCAAATAGAGTGAGATGAGCTGTTCACACATTGCTTCATGCCAGGAAAAGAATATGTTCCCGAATCCGCTTTTATTACCTTTCTTTATTATCTTTACTTTTTTTAAATTCTTGGATACATTTACCAGAGTGCCAAAGCCACATTTTCAGTTTTCTTTTTCAGACAAATACACATGTATTCATGATAGGAATACTACAGATGTGGATGCAAAGTACTTTAGCACCGTGGTTTTCAACCTTGGTTTTTCGAATTGTTAAATTAATAAATAAACTAATCTATGTATTGAAAGGTTAATTAACGAGAGTTAAATCATCAGATTTCAAATGGAAGTTCTGACTTGGATGTTTCTTTTAAGATTTTCTTTCTATTTCTTCACCTTCACTTGATTATTTTATTAGTTGGGACTCTACAATATTCAAATAACACAAGAAAAACTCGAAGACTGATTCAGTTGGTGAAGCAGGGTCGAAGAGGTTGGGAAGAACTGATCCAAAGCGTATCTATAATGGAAATGCATTCTATTCTCTCCTGTCTAATGAAGTCAGTTTCAGTCTGACAACTCAGCATGGTTTTTGCGCTGCTGAGCCAGCTGAACCCCAATGACCTTTACTTGGCCAGGACACAAATTACTGGACTTGTTGGCCAAGATGCACCAGCAGGGAACAAACTCGCCCTAGTTGAGCTTTGGGATCAGATATAAGCCAGCGATGGCATTAATGTGGATCAATTAGGTGATAACATGATGTTCACTGTGCAGTGGCGGAGTTCCACATCATCGGCCCAGTTAATTAGGTGTTTAATTCAATTAGTTGATTGGTGATTGGATTTAATGTTATCTTTTTTTCAAATAGCCACCTCAAGTCTGAGTGGATTTTTGGAGGGTCTGCCTCTTGGTTATAAGTTTGCTTCAGACACTACACAAGTTGTAGCAGATTTGAGGCTTGAGTCAACAGATTCCCTGGGAATTCCCTGGGCACTGGAAAGGTGTCATCACCAGCTGTCCATTTGTCCAAGGCTCACTGAGGGACATGGACACATCTCTTCTTGGTGATCCAACAATGGTGCTTGGATGATCCTTAATGGTCACCAATTCAATGAGAAATATTTTGATTTTATTATGATTTTATTCATGAGAAGTTGTCCAATTGTCTAAGTATGACGAAATAGAGAAATCGACAGTGATAGTTTGATGAGCTTCAAATGCTTTTTGCTTCAATATAGATTATTCTACCCTTGGTTTACTTAAACCTGCATTATCAGTTTTTTTGGCCACTTGGGGGCAGCAGAACCAGGCTGAAAAAATGTACATATTATCACATGCTAATGTCAATGGCTAACTTGTTAGCAAGCACATGGTTACTAATGCCGATACAGAGCAACTATAGCATGCATTTGGAGTTGTGTTTCGGGCCACCTGGTGAATGTAAGTCCAAGATTCACTCTCTTTTAGCTCTGTTTTGGTCTCCACCAACTACTGAGAATAAAAGATCAGGCCTTTTTAGCTGTTAAATGTTCCACTATGATCAGAGTTACCAACTTTGTCTCTCTGCTGTTTGGTGCTAAACAGTAGGGTAGTTTTTTTTTTTTTTTTTAGAAAACAGCTGCTTGCTGCATCTAGCAACAGTAAACCAAACAATATAATTATGCTAAAGTTCTGTCTCGGCCATTTTCACTGCTACACAGCAACCGGGATTTGGTAGAGAAAGGATGGATACAGGGAGTTACCTTCATTCAGTGTAGAGCTCTACAGACATGCCCACTGTAAGCATAATGTCAGTTTTGCATCTCTGTGTCTGGACAAATGACGGGAGCGATGCACATTAGAGTGCTGCTGTGTCAGCCTGACATGCGGAGAATGTTTGACTCGATGGAGGCTCCTCTCTTACAGCCTGCAATAAGAACCCTTCAAGTCGGGGAAACCGTTTATCTGCTCTATTTCTGTTTCTATATTTGAAATGGGATAAATGGCATAAACATGAGAGAAACTTTTACAACGTATTATCTCTACTGAGACACTAACATTGTTTGAAACTACTTCAGATAAAGCAGTAGTAGCTTTTTTGGCTTGTTGATGTAAATATTATTTACAGCACTGTAATTTTATCATACTTTGAGCAGAAATAAAAAATAGTGCTTTCTTAGCTCTCCTACTCACTTAAGCAGTAGCTGAAAGAGTTAATGAAACGACTAATAAAATGAAGCTGTGGTAATGACTATTGATAAGCCATATATAGTGTGGCTTGTCAAGTCATGCTGGCTTCCAGGACCCTTCCCTAAGCACTTTTATTATCACATAGGGAATGTCTGACAAATTAATCTCCCAAAGCAGACCTCGATCCTCAAATTGGCTCTGTGCAGGGAGCCGGGATGACACGCATGCCTCCCGCTGGCATAAGCCACAGCCCGTCCTGTCAGAACATAATACAAAGTAAAAGCTCGATGTTGACCAGACGGGCTTAAATTGTAAAATATTAGCCGCTACTAATGATTATCTGCAAGTAAAAAGCAGCAGTTGCATCTTTAAAATCAGCATCTAAGCTGCTAACCATTTCTTTGGCCAATACTTCTGTTGTTCCTTCATGCATGTTGGAATATTAACCTTTATCTTAATTCTTCTCATCATTTTATTCATACATTTAAAAGTAGAGGGTCTTATTTTGTAGTATCTCGGTCATAAATGACACAGAGCTTCAATGATTTCAAGGAAAAAGGCAACACAGGGTTGGTTGATGACGGTTGCTGTGGAGATGTTTCTACTTTCTTAGTCTGCTCATGGATTTGTCTCGGGGCAGCATTGACAATATGTTAACAACAGTCACGCATCCCCACACGCTGTATATAGAAATGAAGAGTGGAGATAATATAAAATCAGGGTTGACTGACTGAGTTCAGCACAGATCAAAAACAAGAACAATCTGATACATTGTCTGAGTGTGATAGTCACAAAAAATCAGCAATTCTTTATATAATTTTTTTTTAGATGCAATTTACTGTATCATGCTGTGAGGTTATGCCAACTTATCATATTAACGATACAGATGGGACAGATTTAGCTCTTACCTCACAGTGTGATGCACTAATCAAAACTGTCGTAACAAGTTACCCTTTTTATAAAAAAAAAAGATGCTTCTTCAGAGAAGTAATACCAAAATAGCAGGTCTTAATGTAGCAGCTATTATCTAAAAATGTCTCAGCAACATTATAAGAGCCAGAGTGAAGCTGGGTGACAGACAGAGAGAGAGGGGGGGGGGGGGGGGGGTATTTTCCATGCACCTAGTAATGGATAACCCTGTAACTTGGCGTGCAAAGCTGCAGCACAGCTGAGTGCTCACTTTGTCAGATTGTCAATATGTCTTCAGCACATGGAGGCAGGAGGTTTAGAGTTTAGAAAGAGTTTGCAGATTTGATCCCTGCAAAAGCCGACATGCCCATCAACGGCTACCACTGGCTGCATCCGAATATCTCTACAACCCCCTGGATGTGAAAATATGTTTGTTGTCATTTTCTTTCAAGAAAGCAAAGTGATTATGATTCAAAGTCCCCTCCCTGTGTGCTGTAACACAAAGCGGTCTTCACAGCTACTGTGAGGTCTGGCTTCTTTGCACCAATGCCTCAAATTGAATGTGATAATGAATGAATTCGTTAAATTATGGCACCATAATGAGCCCTCACTTATTCAAAAATAAATGTCCTGGCTACGGGCCGGAGCCCTGACTCATGACAGTAGATCCCTGTCGGCCTTGTTTGCACCATTATTTTACATTCTTATCTACTGCAGCTCTTTTAATGACCGCTTCGATCGACGTGCTGCAAATGAAAACGTGTCCCAGCTGTTTAAAGGAGTCCTGTGATTGCCTTTGATTCTTGCCAGCTGTGAAAATGACTCACTAATATGCACACAGTCCTATATGTTCATGCGTTCATGATGCAACAAAAAAACAGATATCTGCTTGCTTCTAGACCCACAACTCAGGTTTCTTTCCATTTTGTTTTACAGTTTAATAATCAGGCTAAATACGTAGAGGGGATTACAACAGGAATGTGTTCCCAGAAATAATCATGGTCAGTCTAACATGTGTTTCTATGACTGCAACTATTTTATCTTCTGTTACATGGTCAGTGGCCCTACGCTTCAAACTATGTTGCTTTATGTGGCCGTAGGGTGGGAGTAAAGGCAGGAGTCAGGTGGCAGAGTATGAAGAGCGACAAAGTCCTCATAGGGTGGGGGTCAGGGTGAATGGATCGATATAAAACAACAGGATTAACCCCCACGAGACTGCTGACGGTGTC